ACCACAGGAGTCCCAGGGGTCTAACTCAGTCACCAGGCTTGGTGGCAAGCACCTTTATCCTCTGAGCCATCTCACCAACCCCACACCTCTGTTCCTAGTTTATGAGAGTACCTGATTTCCTCCACCCATCACAGCTTCATCCCTGCTTCATTTCTTTGTGATTCTTCCTTAAAACGATTCAGAGACTCAAGTAACACATAGATTCATGCACACTAGGCAAGCACCCTACTGATAAGATCTACCCCCCACCCCCACCCCCGAGATCTGCCCTCCAAGCCTGCATTTCCAGCAACAGGAGAACGAGGAGGAAACGTTTGTGTCTGGCTGGCTGGACCAAAGCCCTGGGGTGGGTTGGAGGCTGGGAGTAGAGCTGGCCTCAACCCAGGGGACAAATGCCACAATTGGCTGGAACTGCTTTTGTGGGATGAAAACCACCCAAATTGCTCTGGTGTTTCTTATAACTTCAGCTTTTACTTTTCTAGACAGGGTCTCAGCAAGTAGCTCTGGCTAGCCTGAAATCCTCTATGTAGACAAGACTGTCTCAGACTCACAGAGAGCCACCTCCTTCTGCTTCCTGAATTCTGGGATTAAAGATGTACCACATGCCTGGCCTTCAGCTTTACAAAAAAAAAAAGTTTCCTCTCTCTCTCTCTCTCTCTCTCTCTCTCTCTCTCTCTCTCTCTCTCTCTCTCTCTCTCTGTGTGTGTGTGGGGGGGGGGTGTTCTTTTTAACAGGTTTTAATAAAGTATAATTTTTGGTTTTTCAAGACAGGGTTTCTCTGTGTAGCCCTGGCTGTCCTGGAACTCACTGGAACCAGGCTGGCCTCGAACTTGTGGAGATCCACCTGCCTCTGCCTCCCAAGTGCTGGGATTAAAGGTGTGTGCCACCACTGCGTGGCTTTTTTTTTTTTTTAAGACAAGGTGTCACTATGTAGAGCAGGCTGGTCTCGAACTTGTGGTGACTCCTCCTGACTCTCCTGAGATTACAATGCTGGGATTACAGGTGCATTTACCACCTTGCCTGGTTTACTAGCAGAGCAGTTGCCTACCAATACAGGAGAGCCTGAGCTCCACCCACGCAATGAAAAAAAGAAGAAAGAAAAACATCTAGGCAAGTGTCGGTGTTGCAGCTCTGTAACCCAGGTGAGCTTCAACCCCAGCAAGAAAGCCCCACTTCCTTCTCTCCCTGAAAACTCTCATACAAAACAAATCCTCTACATCCTTTCTAAAACACCCCAACACACACACACACACACACACACACACACACACACACACACACACATACACACACACACACACACACTGACAAGTCAAATTCATCAGACTGCATTTAACCAAGAGTATATTTCCAAGCAACCATTTGGTGGTTTGGGTAATAAGGAAACATCCATTTAAAAGGTACCTTGGGGGACAGGGACTGTAGCTTAGTGGGTAGTGTTTGCTTAGCATGCATCAAGCCCTGGGTTCCATCCCTAGCACCACATAAAGTGGACATGGTGGTGCACATCTGTCATCCCAGCACTGAGGAGGTGGAAGCAGGACTCCAAAGTCATCCTTGACTGTACCACAAGTTGGAGAGCAGCCTGGGCTTCATGAGACCTGTCTCAAAAATAAACAGTTCAGTGGATAAAGGCACTTGCCTCCAAGCCTGATGACCCACATGATGACCTAATCCCCAGGACCCATATGGTAGAAGGAGAGAACTGACTCCCCAGAATTGTTCCCTAATATCCACAGACCACCATGGAACACACCCAAATATATACGAATAAATGTGTCTAGTTCCATTTATATTTCTGTGGTTTAAATACTCTGAAAAAAAAAAAGCAACTTAGGGGAGAAAGAATGTATTTCAGTTGACAGTTCCAGGTTACTGTCCATCATTATGAATGCAAGGTAGGAACGTCAAACAGCTGCTACCATCACATCTGCCGCTGACAGCAAAGAGAAATAAATGCATGGCCTCACTTTCTTGCATTAGTTTCTCCACATTGTATTATACATTCCAGGACCCTCTATCTAGGGAATGTTGCCACCCACAGTGGACTGAGTCTTTCCACATCAATTAAGACAACCCGGTACAGACATGTCCACAGGTCAACTGGATCTACACAGTGCCTCACTGAGACTCTTTTCACAAGTGATTCTAGGTTGTGTCAATTAAGTTGACAGTTAAAGCTAACCCTCACAAAATGTAATTTTTAAACAATTAGAGCCAGGCAGTGGTGGTGAACATCTTTAATTCCAGCACTCAGGAGGCGGAGGTGGACCGATCTCTGAGTTGAGGCCAGCCTGGTCTACAGAGTGAGTTTCATGACAGCCAAGGGATACATAGAGAAACCTTGTCTTGAAAAACCAGAAAAAAAAAAGAAAAACCAATAAATAAGTAAATAAATAAATAAATAACCAAACAGTTTTTTTTTTTAAAAGGGAATTAAATTTTAAAAAGGTTCTCTGGCAGTCTGTGAGCCCTAGAATGACAAGAAGGGGCCAGTGACTGAAGGACATCAGTCCCTGTGTGCGGTGTCAAGATAGAGATTAAAAGAAAAACTTTAAAAATAATAGCCAACAGTCACACCGCTTCTTCTAAATTCATCACTATTATCCATTCTGTGTAGTTGGAGTTTTCTCCAGTCCCACTCAGACCCAAGTAAACACACAGAGACTTATATTACTTATAAACTGTATGGCCGTGGCAGGCTTCTTGCTATCTAGTTCTTATATCTTAAATTAACCCATTTCTATAAATCTATACCTTGCCATGTGTCTCGTGGCTTACCAGTACTTTTACATCTTACTTCTCATGGCGACAGTGGCTGGCAGCGACTCCTGACTCAGCCTTCCACTTCCCAGAATTCTCCTCTTTGCTTGTCCTGCCTATACTATACTTTCTGCCTGGCTACTGGCCAATCAGCATTTTATTTATCCATCAATCAGAGCAACACATTCACAACATACAGAAAGACATCCCCAGCAATTCTGTTTCCTAGATCAACAAAACTGAGGCTCTGAAAACTCAAATTGCTTGCCTGAGTCTCTGACAGAATTCAAACCCAGGTCCTCCGGCTGCCCCCAGAGGCAGTAGGATACCTTGTGACAACATCACCTGGGGGAACTCTTGAGGTCACAATGTCACAATGAGCTGGACTAGACCACCTTGGGTTAACCTTTAGAAAGGACCAGAAGACCATCCCCTGGGATGACCAGGACCAGAGGGAGTCTGAGGGACCAGACGGGCACTAAGTTCAAGATTCATTAACCCAGTGAAGTAGGTCTGTGTTCTTGTCCCTGATCCCCTCAGTATTAGGGACTGAACCAAGGATCTCACTAGGCACACACTCAACAACCACCGAGCTGAAGCTTTAACCTGAGACAGGGCTGCATGTAGCCTAGGCTGGCCTCCAACTTGCTGTGTAGTCAAGGGTGACCCTGAATTTCTCATCTTCTAACCTTGGATTATAGGTGTGTTACCATGACTGGTTTGTGCTGTGCTGGGGAATGGAACCAGGGCTTCCTGCATGCTAGATGAACACTACCAGCTCCTGTGGTGCAGAGTCCCTTATTTCATTTATTCATTGGCCCAGGTTGATCTCAAACTCACATTTAAGGTTGAGCCTGAACTTTTCATTCTCCTGACTCTACCTTCTAAATTCTGGAATCACTGACACAAAGCCAGCTGATTGTGTGTGTGTGTGTGTGTGTGTGTAGGCTAGAGGACAATCTTAGGTGTCATTCTCAAAATTGCCTTAAGACAAGGTCTCTCACTAGCTCAGAGCTCATTGATTTAGCTAGGCTGGGTACCAGTGAGCCTCAGGAAACCGCCCTGTCTCTGCCAGTTAACAAGGGTGCTGGGTATCATAGACTGATCCAATCTTCAGCTCTTGTTTTGTTTTCTTTTTGAGACAATACCTTATGTAGTCCGGTCTAACCTTGAGGTTCTCCATGCAGATAAAAACGACCTTGAATTTCTAATCCTCCAGCCCCTGCCGTCAGATTGCTGGGATGACAAGCCTGTACCACCACACCTGGTTTATGCAGGGTTGAGGCTCCAACCCAATGCATGCTGGGCAAGCATCCTGCCAATGTACCAGAATGCTAGCCCAATACATGTCCTTTTCTTTCCTGTTACTTATATTTATTTTCATGTGCTGCAGAATCAAGCACCTAATGTATGCTTTTTAAAGAGTTCAATGTGAGCACATAGCGGGCTGAAGGCAGGAAGGGGCTTTCTGGAGGAGGTGAGCCTGGAAGCCAGGAATGATGGTGGACAGTCAGGGTCTCTAAGTAGCAACAAGGAAGATGGAGGAGGCAGCTCTGTTCCAAGACCCAACTGGCTGAGCAGCAGGTTGACCGTTCAAAGCTGAAGGCAGAAGAAGAAGAAGCCTGAGCAGCTGATCACATGGCATTTGTAGCTACCAGTACTTGTGCTCAGCTCACGTCCCCATTTATACTAGAGGTTCTTAACCTGCCTAACGCTGCAACCCCTTTAACACCTCATATGGTGACCCCCAACCATAAAATTATTTTCGTTGTTACTTCATAATTTTTTGTCCATCATCCAGGGAAGTCAGAGCAGGATCCTGGAGGCAGGGGCTGATACAGAGGCCATAGAGGAGTACTGATTACTGGTTTGCTCCTCATGGCCTGCTCAGCCTTATAGAACCCAGGATGCCTGCCCAGGATGGTCCCACTCACGGTGGCTTGGCCCTCCCACATCAATCATCAATGAAAAAAATATACCACAGGTCAACCTAGTGGAGCATTTTCTCAACTAACTTTTCCTCTTCTACAAGGGCTCTAGCTTGTGTCCAATTGACATAAAACTACCGGGCACAGTACCACAAAACCTCTATACAGTAGGAGCCAAGTAAGAGACTGTCTTTTTCCTCTTCGTGGGGTCAGACCAAGGATTGAAAAGCAGCATTGCTCTGGGGTAGAGGAGGCCGTTGTCCTGAGTTCAGGCCTTTGTCTTTGCACCTCACAGGTGGCGCCGGGTCCTCACGATGCCGGTGTGCCCGATGTCCATGGAGTTCCTCAAGGCCTCACACTTCGCTCTGGGCCCCGATCCACGGCTGCTCGAAGGTAGTATGCAGTGCACGACGCACAGGGACTTCCCGGCCTATTTCTCCATCACCCCGGAGCGGCTGCCAGCTTCGCCAACGCACTCCACAGTCTTCCAAAAGGAAGCACGCTGGGACTCCGAGGAGCGCGTGTCCGAGATGCACCGCGCGTTCTCACCGCCGTCCGAGTCGCCGCGGCTGGACGAGCTGCGGGAGCAGACAATGGAGCGCGCGCGAGCCATGCAGATCAGCAACCTGCACGTGCACGCGGACGTGCGCCCTAGCCTCAACCTGTCCACCGCACGCGCCGACTACCGCTGGCCGGAGCTGCCGCCGCACGGCCGCGAAGACATCCGAGGCGCGCGCCTCATCTTCGACCGCGACTCGGTGCCCTCAGGCGACAGGGAGCAGCTGCGCATCCCGGCCACCTCGTACAAGGCGCACTACCTGCCATACGCCGCCGCCGCTCAGCCCCGTGTGCCCAGCAGCCACCTGGGTGAGCGCGCGCCCTGGCCATGTGCACCTAAGTGTAGTTGGAGTTTTCCTGCCTGGCCCACAGTCAGGGCAAATCTCTCTCACCTGCCAGTCCCACAGCCGTCAGACCCGACCAAGTAAACACAGAGACTTGTATTGGTTTCAAACTGTATGGCAGTGGCAGGCTTCTTGCTAACTGTTCTTTCAGCTTAAATTAATCCATTTTTATAAATCTATACCTTGCCACGTGGCTCGTGGCTTACCGGCATCTTCACATGCTGTTTCTCATCGTGGCGGCTGGCAGTGTCTCTCTGACTCAGCCTTCCACTTCCCAGCTTTATTCTCCTCCTTGTCCCGCCTACACTTCCTGCCTAGCCAATGGCCAATCAGTGTTTTAATTATTGACTAATCAGCAACACATTTGACATACAGAACATCCCACAGCACTTCCCCCTTTTTTTTTTCAAAAAGGAAGGTTTTAACCTTAACAAAGTAAAATTACATATAATTTGGGAATTTGGGCGTAGCTTCTCTTACTACTTCCTGCTGGAGGGGGGCGCTGTATCTTATGGGGATACAAAGAAAATTTTAGAATTATAGAATAGTCCATGAGGGTGTAGAATCTGAGCCAGTTGCTTTCAAATCATTCTGGATGTTGGATCATCTGGGCCATGGTGTCATCTGGGCCTTTCAGGGGGTCTTGGCTGGTCAAACCTGATGTATCTTAATCTGGAACAAATCCATAGCCTCTGGCTTTCTGTGGAAACAAAAGCAGAGTCTCCTTTCCAAAGTAACATATCCTTATATCCAAATTTTGAAGTCAAGGTACCTTTAAAATATACATATTGACATAACTCAACAGCTTTTACAATCAAATGTTTTTCTGCAGTTAAAAGTCCCAAAGACAACACAATGCAGATTCTCTGTGTAATATCCATTTTTATGTGGCTTATTTTTTATACTACCTTTACTGTCTCTTTAAAGACTTTATTTTTTAAAACTATGTTTCTATAACTCTATATATCATCTTTTTTGTCTCTTTCAAGCCTACGTATCTTTTACACACATTGTAAACTATTACATCTGAATCTGTCTTATTGTGAATCTATTGCCTTAAACTGCAGCAGCTGTGGCTGCTGGCTCCACCCACCTCAGCTTCCCAACGTGGCGTTTTCCACCAGCTCTGGGAGCTATCGTGGGTCTCTATGCTTTTATCCAAGCAGCGTATAGCCCAGAAACCTCTTTGTTTTGTACCTGCAAAGGCTAAATCCACCACGCAGCTTAATGTGCCACTTGCAGAGGCCTCATTCCCGCCATACTGCAGGTCGAGCACGCACACTAGGAACCCACCAGTAGCTCAAACCAGCAGCTGCCGCTCATTTGAGAGAGACAATTAGGAACTGTTTTTAGCTCCGTTTTAGAATCTTTTCTCAGGTTTTAGGTGGAAACTCTTGCCACCACGTTGGGCGCCATTTGTAGTTGGAGTTTTCCTGCCTGGCCCACAGTCAGGGCAAATCTCTCTCACCTGCCAGTCCCACAGCCGTCAGACCCGACCAAGTAAACACAGAGACTTGTATTGGTTTCAAACTGTATGGCAGTGGCAGGCGTCTTGCTAACTGTTCTTTCAGCTTAAATTAATCCATTTTTATAAATCTATACCTTGCCACATGGCTCGTGGCTTACCGGCATCTTCACATGCTGTTTCTCATCGTGGCGGCTGGCAGTGTCTCTCTGACTCAGCCTTCCACTTCCCAGCTTTATTCTCCTCCTTGTCCCGCCTACACTTCCTGCCTAGCCAATGGCCAATCAGTGTTTTAATTATTGACTAATCAGCAACACATTTGACATACAGAACATCCCACAGCACCTAAGGGCGCTCAAGGACTCCTCACAACCCCCCACCCAAATAGCCACTTGTCATCTTGGCGAGGAAAATGCTTCTAGTTGCCAACCAGTAGAGACCAAAGATGCTGCTGCTGAAACCGCCAGGGCTGAGGATGTGGCTCAGTTGGTAGAGTATTTACCTAGCATTCATTAAGCCCTGGCTCGCAACCTCAGTCAGCACTGTATAAACGAGCCATGATGGCCAACACCTATCATCCCAGCATTGGGGAAGTGAAGGCAGGAAGATGAGGAGTTCAGCTACATAGTGAATTCAAGACTAGCCTAGGACCCTGTCTCAAAAAAATAAAACAAGGCTCGGGAGATGACTCCGTCAGTACACTGGTTGATGTGCAAGCAAGAGAACCCGAGTTCCAACCCCCTTACACCTATGTTAGAGCCAGGTGGGGCAATGCATGCTCGGGAGAAAGAGACAGGAGGATCACTCGATCGCTGGCGAGACACACACACACACACACACACACACACACACACACACACCTCTCTGTTTGCTGGCCAATCTAACTGAATCAGAGAGCTACAGGTTCAGTGAGAGACTCTGTCTCAAAAAATAAGATGGAGAGCAATTGAGGAAGACATCAGACATCAACCTCTGGCCTTCACATGCATGTACATTCTCATGCACCCACACACACATGAACACCCAAAACAAAACAAAACAAATCCCCAATATGAATATGAATGGTGGCTCACACCTGTAATCCTAGCACTCGGGAACTAAGGGAAAGGGATTGCTGCAAATTCTTGACTCGCTGCCCAGATCCTACCATGCACAGTGCAGCACTATTCCACAAAAGAATCAGCCGGTTCCAAACATCAGGAAAACACAGGTTCCAGAAACTGTGAGACAGTTCAGCTGAAACAGAAGTTCAAGACCAGCCTTGGCTACAGCAAGAGTTCAAGTCTAGCCTGGGTGACTTAGTGAGGTGCCCAGAATAAAAAGGGTTGAGAATATACCTCGGTGGTGGAACACAGGGCTAGTGTGTATGAGGCCCTAGTTTTTTTTTTTTTTTTTGCAATTGTCTGGCAATGACTCCAGTGCATAGTTGCTGTCACTAAGAGGACTGCCTTTGAGTTGGGCTTTGGGATTCTCCGTTTCTTTGTCTGCATTTGGGTGCAGTTGTGTACCTTAGAGAAAAACCTTGAGTATCAGAGCTCGGGCATCTTCCATCTTTTATTTTGAAACGGTGTTTTGTGGGTCAAGGGAATGAGCTATGACAGCCATACTTTTGGTTTTGAATGAGTGAGTTTATAGTATATAGCAAGCCAAAATAACAGGAAAAAAGCAAGTTATAACACTAGAAACTAGCCTTATCCAGTCAACCATTCTCATACTCAAAGCATCCGGCAGAGACCGCCTGGGGAAGCCCCATTGATCCTGACTGAGACCGTCTCCGCAGAGCAGTGAGGCTCTCCTCACAGGGGAGGCTTCCAGGTGAAGGAAAAATAAGAGCACGTAGAAGTGACGTCAGAACAGGCGCTCACAACGTGCAGCAGAAACTGACATCATGGAGGCACATGCCTTTAATCTCAGCCCTTTCCCACTACAGGGGCTTTACATCACGGGATGAGCAACAGTGATGTCTGTTGGAAGCGGCTCTTCTCAAGTACATGATGTTTTCATTCTTGGGTGTTTTTTACTGTTTTCTTCCCTCCTTGTCCCAGAGCTGGGGGACAGCCCACCCTTGGACAAGGGGCCATGGAGAACACTTTAAAACATACGTGCCTAGGTTTAAAATGGGAGAGGGGACCTGACTTTCAGAACCAGCTTCTCGGTTCATTACATAGGGTCTGTCACTGGCCTGGAACATCCTCAATGGTCTGTGCTGGCTGGCCAGTGAGCTCCAGGGATCTGCCTCCCTAGTGCTGAGATTACAAACTTGTGGCACCATCCTGACTTTTTATGTGGGTTGTGGAGATCCATCCCCATGTCTTCATGACTGTGAGACAAGTACTTCACTGAGTCTCTCCAGCCTTTTCTTTTTCCTGTTGGGGATAGAATTCGGGTCTCAGACATACCAGGCAAGTGTTCTCCCACTGTTCAGCTACCATGCTCCTCATTTCTATCTGCCACTTCAAGTCTCTGAGCCTCAAGGGTATACAAAATGAGTGAGAGAATACCAAGTCCAATTCAGCCCGAGCTGGGCCTATGGCCCCAGCACTCGGAAGGCCGAGAACTGAGAGGTCCTAAGCAGCTAGAACTGTTGATCAAAATACTGTCTGAATGCACACAAAACCACCCTGAAACAAAATGCAGAAGAAAGAAGGGGGAAGCCTGGGTGCCAAGAGCCTGTACAGCCAGCGCTGCAGTAAAGCTAGCACCTAGGGAGGCTGGAGCACGAGAACCGGTTCCTCCATCTTCGACTGCGTGAAAAGTGTGACACCAGACTGGACTACATGAAACCCCACCTCAGAGAAGGAGGGAGGAGGGGAAAGGAGGGAGAGAAAAAGAGAGCAGAGGAGGGACTTAGCCTAGGTGCCTGTCTCAGTACCTGGCAGTTATTTTTTCTCTTACATTTATTGTGTTTATACGCATGTGCATGTGTTCCAGGGTTCAAGCATGGGTCAGAGGACAGCTTTCAGGAGATACTTTTCTCTCACCCTGTGAAACTCGGGGATCTAACCCACGTCATCAGGCTTGGTGGCAAGTGCCTTTACCCACCAACCCATCTCAACGGGCCCCCCCCCCCCCGCCTTTTTTAAAAATTGTTTTTTGTGATTGTTTGCAGAGATCCTTCAGTCTTGAATGATCAGGGCTGCTCAGCCTACCTTCCTGTGGATAGAATCCCAGGTGGCCTAAGGCTGCAGAGAATCAGTCCCATTCTCTCCCACCCCTCCTCATTCTTCTTCCTTAGGGGGCCGCAACCCCCTGAAATGGAACTACAAGGGACAGGACGACACCACCTACCAGAATCACTTCCAGGCCCTCCCAGGTCCTCCTGCCTTGATGTGTAAGAGGGTAAATCAAGGTGTCTCTGGCTTTGCTGGGAGGTGGGGCAGCTGCAGCAGCTAGAGTGGTTCTGACCTTCCCACCCTCCTTTGCCCACAGGCCTCCTCCAGTGTGAGCCTAGGAGACCCCCAGACTGGCTTCAACACCCTGTGCTCATACACGAAACAGACCTACGTGCCTCAGGAGCTGCCGCCAGACAGGTACAAAAGGACACAGTCTGCCCACAGCTGGCTTTCAGCAGCATGTGGGTGGATCAGGCAGGGCTCTGGAACTTCGGCTTGCCTTGAAAAAGTCCAATCCAAGCTCCACCACAGTGCCACACTGCCTACTAAAAGCACCCTGCGGGAGGTTGGGGAGATGGCTCAGCTTGTAAAAGTGTTTCCTGCATGAACATGAGGACTTGAGTTCAAATCCTCAGCATTCACCTAAAAAGCTGGCTGTGGCCACATGCCTGTCATCCCCATGGTGTGATGCATACAGACAGGGGATCATTGGGACATGTCAGCTGACAGCCTGACTCCAGGTTCAGTGAGACTCTGTCTCAAAAGCACAAGGCATGGGCCAATGAGATGGCTCAGTGGTTAAAGGAGCTTGCTACCAAGTCTGATGACCTGAGTTCAATCCCCGGGATCTACACAGTGAAATGAGGGAACTAATTTCCATAAGCTCTTCTCTGACATCCACATGTGCACCATGGAACAAACACAGGTGTATACATACACACACACACACACACACACACACACACACACACACACACACATGCACACATGCACAGTCAGGCTCACACTTACACACATCCTATATATACACAACACATGTATAGCAGCACACACACTAAAATAAACAAGGAGAAGGAAAGATGTTTCCATAGTTGAGCACTTGTTGCTCATGCAGAAGACCAGAGTTTGGTTCTATAACTCCAGTTCCAGGAGACCCAATACCCTCTTTTAGCCTCTGCCAGCACCCACACACATATGGCACATGCACATACATATAAAATATAAATCTTTAAAAAAAATGGAGAGAGCTAGTCAGTGGTGGTGCACACCTTTAGTCCCAGCACTCAAGAGGTAGAGGCAGGCAGATCTCTGTGAGTTTGAGGCCAGCCTGGTCTACAGAGTGAGTTCTAGGGACAGCCAGAGCTACACAAAGAAACTTTGTCTTGAAAAAAAGGGGTGGGGGTGCTATTCACTGGTGAACAGCACTGGCTGCTCTTCCAGAGGACTCAAGTTTGATTCCCAGCATCCACATAGCAGCTCACAACTGTTTGTAACTCCAGCTCCTGGGGATCTGACCCTTCTCCTTGTCTCCTTAGGCACCAGGCATGAATGTGGCAAAATACCACAGGCATGAATGCAGGCAAAATACCCATACACATAAAAAATAAATAAAAACTTTTTAAAGGGGAAAACTGAGGATGGAGGTGAATACCCTGAGTCCCAGAACTTGGGGGACAGAGAACGGTGGTCCACTGTAAGGTCGAGGCCAGCTTCGTCTACATAGTTCTGGGCCAGCCAAGGCCACATACTAAGACCCTGTCTCAAAATCAATTAATTAAAAGAAATAAATGCTGGAAAGATGGCTCAGCAGTTATGAGTACTTGCTGCTTTGCAGGGGACTTGAATTTGAATCCTTGTACATACATGGTGGCTCCCAACTATCTATAACCCCAGTTCTAGGAGATCATCTGGCTTTCATGGGCACCAGGAACACCAGGAACATGTGGTATACTTACATATAAACAGGCAAACACTCATACACATAAAAGAATAGTCTTTAAAAATAGCCAGGTAGGAGAGGAGCTTAGTCCTGCTTCAACTTGATATACCATTTGTTGTCGACTCCCGTGGGAGGCCTTACCCTTTCTGAGGAGTGGAAGAGGGCAGGGGACTAGAAAGGAGGTGGTGGGGGGGAGGGAACAGGAGGAGGTAAACTGTGGTTGGTAAGTAAAATAAATTTAAAAAAATATATAAAAAAAAATAGCCAGGTGGTGGTGGCCCATGCCTTTAATCCCAGAACTTGGGAAGCAGAGGCAGGTGGATCACTTAGTTCAAGGCCAGCCTAGTCTACAGAGTGAGTTTCAGGACAGCCAGGGCTACACAGAGAAATCCAGTCTCCAAAAACATAAATAAAGAATAGATAAATAAATAAGCAATCAAACAAGTACATAAATAATAAAAACGCACAGTGGCACATGCTTTTAGTCATGGCACTCCTGTCCTGCTTTGGTTTCCATGGGTCTGATAAACACAGAGGCCAAAAGCAACTTTGGAAGGAAAGTGTTTGGTTTATGGGTTACAGTTCATCGTTGAGGGAAGTCAAGGGAGCTCAAGGAGGAACCTAGAGGCACGAACTTCAGCAAAGACCATGGAGAAACGCTGCTCACTAGCTTGTTCTCCAGGGCTGGATCAGCCTGCTTTTGTATAGCCTTAGGATCATCAGCCCTAGGTGGCACCACCCACATTAGTCATTAATGAAGAAAATGCCCCACAGACAGGCACCCAGGCCAATTTGATGGAGACAGTTCCTCAGTGGAGGGTAGCTCTTTCCAGGTGATTCTAATTTCCGTTGAGTTGACAAAAACTAACCAACACAGCTCCTGAGGAAGAGACAGACAAATCTCTGTGAGTTTCAGGCCAGCCAGGGCTACATAGTGAGACCGTCTCAAAATGTATACCAATGTAAGTTAACGTACCCCAGGCTCAGCCACGGTTCACCCGGCCCTATCGCTTTTCCTGAAAATTCTGAGGACCTACCTTGATCCTAACTTACTTTGCCTGAGGTATGACAAGGCCCAGACTGCAGCCCACATCCACCAGGTGAGCATTAGTCCCGGAGACAGCCTGTTCCACGACAGGACCACCATGAATGACCACTTCTACGCCCGAGAGCCAGGTGAGAACCTACCGTGCGTGCGTCGACTCTACCCAGCTCTTTTACAGGTTTGTCTCTGCTGCTTACCTCTGACACACCCCTCCCCTGGCAGAGTCCTTTGTTCTTCACCACGATAAGACCCCGGAGTCACACATCCTGAAAGGAAACTGGTGCCCCGGCCCTGGCAGCCTGGCTACCTCCACGAAGTTCTTCTATGGTGAGGTCAGCAGGAAGAGGGAGGAGGTGCCAGGGTGCTCTCCTGGGGGAGAAGGGGTCTCAAAGGCACAGCAAGAGGTGGAGCTCAGTGTAGACCGCAGGTCCTGGGTTTGACACATACCGGTATCAGCCTCAGTGGTTGTCTGTAAAATACAATCACTTGAATTAAATCTAAGCCCATCTGGAACCCAGAGGGTGGGAGCTATCCACGAGGCATGAGTGATTCTCAGTGCTGGAGCCCCTGGACCAGAGATCCCTAGAAGCCTGTATTCCTACAGCCGCCTCCTGTGACTCAGCCTCCAAGCCGACATGTGTCCCATGAGAAACTGAAGGATCATGTGACCCTGGGAGAAGCGAAGCTGCTCGGAGACTTCTTCCAAACCTCCGCAGGCTCAGCCTACTGCCCTCCGGATACCAAACCAATACAGAGAGCCCTTAACCTTTCTTTGTTGCAGAGTAACTTGCCTGAGGGCACAGGTGGTGAGTGTGGCCTACCCATTCATGAGAGCCCCGCCCCATCCCCAAAAGTCCGCCCTGGTTCCTGCAAGCTCCGCCCATCACTGAAAGCCTCACCTCACCAAAAACCTCTTTTCCTGAAGGCCGCCCCAAACCCCATCCCCTCCAACTCTAAAGACCTGCCTCTGTCCCTGGAAGCCCTGTCCATTGCTGAAAACACCACCTCATTCTTAAATCCCCCTCACATCTGAAAACATGGGACCAGTACTACAGACCCCCCAGGCCCAATTCCCTTCTCATCCCCACATACCTACCTACCCATGCCTGGGGTCCCCTCTCCATGTCTGAGGACCTGCTGATGTTCCCATGGGCCCTACCCATAACCGAAAGCTTCTCCGCCCGTGGGAGCCCATCTCCACTTCCAAGTACTTGCTTCTCTTCCCCTCCCCTCTCCGCTGCCCCCCACCCCCACGAGGTTTTTCTGTGTAGCCTTGTCTGTCCTGGAACTCGTTTTTTAGACTACGATGGCCTCGAACTCAAAGTGCTGGAACTAAAGGCGTGCACCATCAAATACTTGCTTCTTAGGTCTAGGAGCCTTACTTGTTACTGAAAGCCTCACCCCATCTGCAAAGACCTGCCCATTTCTGAGTTCTCACAGCTCCCTAGAAGCCCCGCCCACACCCCCAAGTTCCTCCCCTTCCTGAAGCCCCTCCCCATTCCCAAAGTTCTGCCCCTCGAAATGCCTACCACCACCTACCTCGAATTGATCCCACCTTGGGTTGACAACTCCTTGCGTAACTCCAATCCGATGGTCTGGCCAAGGCCCCCTCTCCCTTTCTTATTCTCCCTCATCCATCTCTAAGCCTTTCTCTGTCAGACTCTGGCAACGCACAGTGCCCTCCCTGGTCCCGCCCTTCCGACACCTCTGGTTTGATCCCGCCCACATGCCACACCGTCTTAGCCTCAGTTCAACCCAAGTGCCTGAGCCCTGAATCTTCCACCCTTAGTCCCTCATATCCTGCCTCATTCGTTTCCTCTGCTCCCCAACTTTCCCCAAACCCAAATCTCCAGAATTTGATTTTTTAACCATGAACCAAAAGATGCTGAAGCCGCATGGAATAGCTCGAGCTGCCGTCACGGAAGAGCTGTTACAGAAGGTGAGCCAGAGGGATGGGATGCATCCCTCATTAGCACCCCTCAAACCATGTTAACCCCGGTCTCAGAATCACAGTCAGGTCGGCTAGCGTCAACCTTGTTGAATGTAACTGTGTCAGTGCTGAGGACTGACAGTGTTTTTGTTGAGCTGGACTCCTGCCTCCACCTCCCCTGTGCTGAGGTTGCAGGCATGCACCACCACTCAGAATTCAGGGGTCCTGTTAATGACAACCCAGCTTCAAGGTTATCCGCAGCTTCTCCCCACTCTCAGGCCCACACCAACTCAGACACATTTATTACCAGACAGGGTTTAAATCTCAAAAGAGGATTCAGAGCCCACCCAGGACCATCCAAAGTCCTGGGGTCATTCTAGGGACTAGTTAAAAATTGCTTTATATATTTATTTGTTCGTTTGTTTATTTTTAAAGATTTATTTATTACATATACAGTGTTCTGTCTGCATGTATCCCTGCAGGCCAGAGGAGGGCACCAGGTCTCACTACAGATGGTTGTGAGCCACCATGTGGTTGCTGGGAATTGAACTCAGGACCTCTACAAGAGCAGCCAGTGCTCTTAACCTCTGAGCCATCTCTCCAGCCCCCAATTGTTTGATTTTTATGATGTTTTATTTTAGTAGTGTGTGTGTGTGTGTGTGTGTGTGTGTGTGTGTGCGCGTGTGCGCGTGCGTGTGCGCGGGCACATGTCATGGTGTACATGGGGAGGTCGGAGGACAACTTGCAGTAATCAATTCTCTTCTACCATGTGGGCCCCAGGGATGGAACTGGGTCCTCCCACACAAGTTACAATGACCGCTAGGCTGAGCCTCTTCTTGCCCTCCAGTGTCCTCCCCAGAGTGGTCTAGAGGTGGCCAGGGTGGGTCAGCAACCCCCGGGCTGTCTGACAAACCGCCTACCTTGACTTCACAGTGCAAGTACAGCCACATAGAGCCCCAGCTGGGTGGACAGCGCTTCTTCTCCACCCACTATCAAGACCAATTTCCTCTCAAGTACCAAGGCCCACTGGTAAAGAAGCAAAGTAACATTCAGGAGAGCCACGTGCCGATGGGCACACCCCAAAAGTTCGGCTGCTGGGGACAGAGAGTAGACCCTCAGGGCCCCCAGCTCCCTATGTACCCTTGCCCGAGCAAGCAATAAATATCACTTGATTGTCAACTTGACAGGCTTTATCTTTACTTTTTTTTTTTTTAACGTTGATTTGCTTGTGTGTGAGCATGATTGTGAACCTGCCACGGTGGGGGAGGAATGTCAGAAGGCAACTTGCAGGAACTGGTTCTCTCCTTTCTCCTTATAAGTTCTAGGGAATCGATCTTAGGTCCCCAGGGACCAAGCTTTGTGGCAAGGCCTTCATTTGCTGAGCCATCATGGCTGCCCTGGACAGCCTTGAGAATAATCATGAAAACAAGCCTCTGAGCATGTCTACGTGAGAGTTTCTAGATTAGATTAACTAAGGTGAGAAGACCCTGAATGTAGGCGCACAATTTCATGGGCTACTCCTCACTGCCTGCTGACTCCTGACGGTTAAGCAATGTGACCGGCTGCCTTTGCCACCAAAGCTCCTGCCGCTTTGCCACTCCACCATGATGAACGGCACTCTGCAACTGTGAGGTTCTCTTTCTTTCTTTTTTCTCTCTTACAGTATGTGTTTTGCCTACATGTATGTCTGCACTCCATGTGCAGGCCTGGTGCCTGTGGAAGCCAGAAGGAGACACTGGATCCCCTGGAAGTGGAGGGCTCTTCTGATATTTGAATGACACACAGTATATGAATAGTGGGTCTAGAGATGGCTCAGTGGTTAAGAGCCCTGCTGCTCTTGCTGATATCCAGAGTTCCATTCCCAGCACCCATATCCAGTGGCTCACAACCATCTGTGAGTCCAGCCCCAGTGCCCCAGCTTCAGAATGCACTGAACTCACACACACACAGAGATATGCACATAGACACATAATTAAAAAATTAAAAATCATGGGGCTGGAGAGATGGCTCAGAGGTTAAGAGCACTGACTGCTCTTCCAGAGGTCCTGAGTTCAATTCCTAGCACCCACATGGTGGCTCACAGCCATCTGTAATGAGATCTGGTGCCCTCTTCTGGTGTGCAAGGTTACATGGAGGCAGAATGTTGTATACATAATAAATAAATAAATCTAAAAAAAAAAAATTAAAAATCAGCCAGGCAGTGGTGGTGTACTCCTTTAATCCCAGCACTCAGGAGGCAGGTAGATCTCTGCGTTGAGGTCAGCCTGGCCTACGGAGTGAGTTCCAGGACAACCAGGGCTACACAGAGAAAGCCTGTCTCAAAAAACCAAACCAAAAAAAAAAAAAAAAAGCAAAGAAAAAGATTAAAATCAAGCAGGAGAGATGGCTCAGCAGTTAAGAGCACTGGCTGCTCTTCCAGAGGACGCGGGTTCAATTCCCAGTGCCCACATGGTGCCTAAACCAGCTGTCTGTAACTCCAGGTCTGACGCCCTCTTCTGGACCCTTATGGCACTTGCTTCTGTGTAGAGCACAGACAGACATGCAGACGAAACACATATGGACACATAAAAATAAGTACATCTTTTGTTTTAATCTTTAAAGTAGTTAATATAAAAAAGAGGAGATGGCTAGTGTTGGACAAAGGCGTTGGCAGGGATGTTGAGTGTGGTAGAGTCCTGGGGCTCCAGGGACAGTATCAATCCAAACTTCTTCAGGCCTTAAATATTATTTTAATATTTAAAAATATTTATTTTATTTATGTGTGTCTTTGTTATGTCCACAGAAGCCAGGAGATGGCATCCTGTCCTCTGGAGTTAGAGTTACAGGCATTTGTGAACTACCCTATGTGGATGCGGGGAATTCTGGTCCTCTGTAAGAGCAGCAAGAGCATCTAGCTGCTGGACAGCTCTTCAGGGCACCACCACCCCTTTCTTTTGGAGACAACATCTCACTATGTAACTCTGGCTGGCTTGGAATTATCTATGTAGACCAGGATGTTCTCACAGTCATAGAGATCTGCCTGCCTCTGCTTCCTGAGTGCTGGAATTAAAGGTGGGTACCTGCATGCCAGCCTTGTAAAAGTTTCAGTGTGTGTGTGTGTGTGTGTGTGTGTGTGTGTGTGTGTGTGTGTGTGTGTTTTTAAGATTCATTTACTTAGTGCAGGTTGTTGTGGGGCACATGTGTCCTGTTGCTTGGGTAGAGGTCAGAAGACAGCTTGTAGGAGTTGATTTTCTCCTTCCACAATGAGAGGGAGGGGGGAGACTAAATCAGGCTTGGCAGCAAGCACCTTTACCCACTAAGCCATCCTTCTGGCTCTCACCACAATGGTGTTGTTTTGTCTTGTTTTTTGTTTGTCTGTTTGTTTGGAGACAGGATCTCACTATATAGCCTTGGCTGGCCTAGAACTCACTAAGTAGACCAGGCCAGTATTGAACTTGTAAAGATCTGCCTGCTTCTGCCTTCTGAGTGCTGGGGTTAAAGGTATACACCACCATGCCTGGCCATACCACAATTTTTTTCATCTAGGGCCTAATATTGCTGGATCCTGTCTCCTAGCAACAGACCTACATTTGCCCAGACCATCCATCCAGTTGGAAGTCGTATCCTAACCGGAGGGTAAATAAAAGCCTGTAGTGAGCTCTCACTACTGAAAGGGCTGCTTAGGTTCTGTGGATGGGGAGTATTTAATATTTCAGGAGAAACAGGCATCTAGAATCCCCCTGGATTATCTCTGATCATCCCAGTTTTATGTCTGCCTCATTACCTTCCTCATTTAGTGTGGACAGAGAATTCAGCTCCAGCAATTTCACATGGAGTAGAAACAATCTCTTCTTTGTAAAGAATGTGTGCAAGAAGCTTATGTCTTTTAAGACCTCCCTGAAGGGGCCAGTGAGATGGCCCAGCAGGTCCGTCTTGTGGCCAGCTAGGAAGACTTGAATTCCATCCTGAGAATGCACATGATGGAGGGCGAGAACTCGGCATTTCAACATCTTTTTCTTCCCAGGGAGTGATTCCTGATATTTTAGTTTTGTTTGGGGGAATTTTGTTTTTAGTTTCTTTTGGTCTGTTTTGTTTTATTTCTTTATCTTCGAAAAAGGGTCTCATTTAGTCCAGGGTGGCCTTCCTCAGCTACATAGTAAGTTTGAGGTCTACATAAGACCCGGTAGAGGGAGTTAGGGGGAAAGCAGAGAGGGAGTCTATCTTCTGTGTTCAGTGAGAAAGAGCCCAAGGTGAAAACAGGAGGCTCTTTAGCAGGGAGTGTTAAAGACTTTGGGGGCTGGGGATGGGCATGCGCTTGTGCTGGACGGCTTTAGATAAAATTGAAGCAGTTACGGTTGGTGTGGTCCATGGCTGGGACTCCAGCTACTTTTATCTCAGAGATGAGGGAGGGTTGAAAGTGGAGTGTGGGCTGTGGCAGGCAGACAGAGGCAGCCATTTGTGCTCTGGGGAAAGGGGGGATGTGTGGTCATTGTTCCGGCTGCGGCCTATTCTTGCGTCTCTCTTGGTTCAGATATGGTCAGAGGGTGACCTCGCTGTATACGGTTTCACCCTGTGACCATTGTTCATGCTCAGGCACGTCCGGGTCCAGCTGCCAGGGCTTGTTTTCATTCCCTCTGTGGTGGAGGGAAGTGTTTGGTCTAGAGCCTTCCTCAGCCCTGGCTGATGGACTGCGTTAGTGTCCCGAAATCAGCGCTGTGCCAGCTTCCTGAGCTGCCGTTGGAATAGGGGGCTGAGAAGATGGAAGTGCCAGACTTCACTACTGGGGGCAGGGGATGAAGGAGTTACCTAAAAGCAGTGAAGGATTCTGTGAACAAACAACTGCAGGGGGTGGGGGCTGCACACAGGCACACTCGTGGAGTTCAGAGTCGACCTCAGGTGTCTTCCTCAGTTGTTCCCCCTTGTATATCTTGAATTTATTTATTTACTTGTTTGTCTGTTTGTTTGTTTTGTTTTTTGAGACAAAGTTTCTCTGTGTAGCCCTGGCTGTCCTGGAACTAGCTCTGTAGACCAGGCTGGCCTCAAACTCAGAGACTGGCCTACATCTGCCTCCTGAGTGCTGGGATTAAATGAATGCACTACCACAGCCCGACTATCTTGATTTTTTAAATTAGATTTATTTACTTATTTGTTTATTTATTTATGTGGTGGGGTATGCATAGATGGCAGGTGGAGGTCAGAGGACAACTTGTAGGAGACAGTTCTCTCCTTCCACCACGTGGGTCCTAGGGAATCAAACTCAGGTCCTTGGTCTTTGGGCAAGTATCTTCACCCACTGAACTACCCTGTTGGCCAACAGAGTTTCTCAATGAACCCGGAACTCACTGACTCAGCTGGACTGGCTGGCCAGTGAGCCCCTGGGTGGTCCTCTATTTTGGCCACCTCAAATCTAGGACTATTGGTGCCCACCACTGAGTCTGTTTTTCCACATCAGTGCCAGAGGTCTGAAGTCAGGTCCTTAAGCTTCTTCAGCAAGCAGATTACGGACTGGGTCACCTCTCTAAGCTCACCTGTCTCACCACAAACCTTCACCCACTGAGCCATTTTGACAGTCCTAAACTTTTTGAGATAATACTGGTTGAGGAAAAGACGGATACATTTTTAAATTGCGGGACTTCTCAAAGCCTCCTTTTGCCTATGTGTCTGAATATCATGATAGCGGTTGTTTGAACCAAGATAGAGAAATGGGCAAAAGGCCAAGACAGAGGCCGGCAGAGACAAAAGAGGTCAGAGGCAGACAAAATGACCGCGCTAGAGGCAAAGAAATTGAAAGAGAAAAGAGAGAGATTCTGGTAGGAACAGAGAAAGAAAAGAAGGCTGAAGAAATGGTTCACGTACAGGTAGGTAGGTACACGGTCAAGCATGGTCAACCCTGGTTCCATCCCTGGGACCTATTCGGTGGAAGGAGAGAACCGACTCCTGCCAATTGTCCTCTGACTTCCCCAGGGGCAACACGGCACACATACACAATAAATCAAAATTTATTTAAGGGGGTGAAGGCAAAAGAGACGGAGAGGAGGGGACAGAATGGAAGAGAGATGTACAGATGGAGATAGAGACAGGGATACAGATGGAGAGAGTCAAGATCAGAGTCGGAGAAGGGGGCGAAAGAGGCACTTGGGTGAATGGAGGGATCGTGCCAGGGTGGCGCGGGCTGGTAGAGTGCAGACAAAGCCTGGACGCGCGCCGGCCAGGGTGGCCCCGGCCGGGACAAAGGCTTGGCCCGGGGGGCGGGGGCAGCGATGGCGCCGGCCGCCGAGGGCGCGGGCGAACTACAAGTCCCAGCAGCTCCCGCAGCGGCCCTCGGCCGGCCCCTCTCGCTCCCCGGGAGCGCCTGGCGGGGCCGCTGGGCCGAGGGGGCCGCCGGCGGGGCTGGCGGGCGGTGGGGTTTCCTGCAAGCCCGGGGCGGGGAGACGCCGGCTGGCCAGCGCGGGTGCAGCCGGGCCGGGCAGGGGCGAGGGGCATCGGGTGAGTGACCCCGAGAGCGGATCGGGCTGGACTGGGGAAGGCTGGGCAAAAGGGGGAGGTGGCTGGGAGGAGGCCCCCACACTAAGAGCAGGGTGCGGGGCGCGGCTCCGGGCTACTTATATGCACCCCTCGCTGAGTGTGTGGTACCAGCTCTCGAGCTGGGGCGTCAATGTGGCAGACGCGGTGGAAGGGGGGTCCCGAGGAGCTCAGGCCTAGTGCGTTTATCCACCACCCCCAGGACCACCCCCAAACCCCCCACAGTGAGCCTGAGATTGGGGTGGGTGGAGGCGCCCGCTAGCTCTGGGGTCCTGTAGCGCAGGACGCCTCCTTGCTTCAGGAGGTGATGGGGGCGGGCGGCGGGGGGGGGGGGTGCTTTCTTTTTGGGAACCAAGAGAAGCCTGGGGTATTGTTCTTCCGATGTGGAACTTAAGAAAGGCCTTTTGCTCCATAGTGTGTGCAGGAGGAAAGTGTAGTATTACCTCAAGGATCCCAGGATCTCTCACCTCCCAGTCTTGGCTGTTCTTTGAAGCCCGTGTTCCCAAGAGGTGATTGGGGTGCACCTGGCCTCTCCCTCGTCTAAGAGGTGGGAGTTCAGGAGGCTGCTTTCTTCGAAAGCAATCTAAAAGTCCCTTGTCTCCCAGAAACCTGGGAGGACACCCGGGAGTGTTGCCCATTAATCTCCAACAGTGGAGCCTGGGTAGAGAAGTTGTTGGGGGAATTCAGCACCCCTCTGTGTACTGGCGATGAGGTTGGGGCTGGGTAGGCCTCCCAAATCCCCAGGAGTCCAGCCAAACAAAGAGTTCCCTCAGCCCCAAGGTAGAGCTCTGTTGCTTTCTCCCGTTCTGCCCCCCAGCCTTTCCCCTAACCATGGAGTGTGTGGCTCAGGAACCCCCTCCCCTGGAGACACCCCCCCAGTTCTCTCAGTCACCCCACAGCCCTCCAGCCATTGTCTTCACCGAGGGGTTAAAATTCACAAGCGTCTAGCCAATTGGAAAATAGATCTATTAACTGCGCTCCCCTCCCTTCTGGCTGTGGAATCCTTAGTGCCCCTGGCACCCCCTCCCCAGGAGAGGCCCGTGTATGCACTCTCCTTAATTTTGAAAACCTCGTGTTATGTTGTAGCCCAGGCTGTCCTTGAATTGTGCAGACCTTCCAGCCTTAGCATCACAAGGGCTGAGCTTGCAGGTGTGTCCTGAGCTGCTCCCTCACATCTCCCCTCCCGTGTCCTCAAGTTTAGGGAATAGACATCAAAGATCTGTCTGGGAGAGACTATATCCCACCCAGGCTGCGGGGTATAGAATGCTTCCCTGTAAGCAAACAAGGGCCCCTGCCCTTCTCACTGTGACACAGAAGGGGTGCAGCTACCATTAACTTCTCAGCCTTACCACTATCCGTTCTACTTCTGGAGGGCAACCCACACAAGCCCCCCTCTCTACCAGCAACATCCAGATCTACCACTTTCCAAGGTGGAGCAAAAATGCAGACCATGACCTCATGAGGAATAAAGAACCCTGACACCCTTTTCCCCAAATTAAGAGTGTCAGACCTTAGAACTGTCTCCTATAAGACCCAAACTCCCCTACTACAAGAGCTCAGGATGGGGCTGGAGATGTCATTCACCTACCATGCAGGGAACCCTGGGTTTGAATTCCAGTACTACATAAGCTGAACGTGGTTGTGCATAGCCTGTAATTCTGCACTCAGGAGTTTGAGGCAGGAGGATAAGAAATTTAAGGTCATTCTTGATTACATATGAGTTGAAAGACAACTCAGGCTACACAGGACCTTGCTTAAAAAACAAGATCCCAAGATGGCCTCTTATCCCACCCAGCTTTAAGTTGAAAAGGGAGGGTCCCATCACATCATATGAGGGTTCCTCTATTTGAAATCCTGGCGAGGACACTAGTTAGAACTCTTTCTGTGGTTAAAGACAAGGAGAAAATCTGTCTGTAGTTAGCAGGGACTTTTGTGTGGCGTGGCCAGTCCCCTCTCCCTTCCCCAGAACCTCCCTCCACCAACTCCTGTGCTCATACTGCAGATTCTGTTCCAGAAGCCGCAAGCAGTTCTACTTCTAGGATGAGGCGCTCAGTCCTGGTTAGGAACCCGGGCCACAAGAGCCTTAGGCCACTTTATGGAGATCTTCATTCAGACCCAGAAGACCTGGACCCCAGCCCCAAAGATCCAGACCCTATTTCTGAAAGCCCCGAGCCAGAGCCGGAAGACCTCAACACTGTCTCAGAAGATGGGGATGCCAGCTTTGAAGATCTGGACCCTGAGGCAGAAGATGCTCAACCATCCATTTTGGGGAAGCCAGACTCAGATTCCCAAGATCTGGATCCCATGTCTTCAAGTTTCGACCTTGATCCTGATGTCATTGGCCCGGTACCCCTGGTTCTGGACCCAAGCAATGACACCCTCAGCCCGGCTGCTCCTGATGTGAGTTCCCTTCCCTCTGGCCTCACTGCCACCCCTGAAATCTTGGCAACGAGCCCAGCGGTGCTTCCCGCCCCCGCCAGTCCCCCTCGTCCCTTCTCCTGTCCTGATTGTGGGCGAGCCTTCCGTCGCAGCTCCGGGCTGAGCCAGCACCGACGCACCCACAGTGGGGAGAAGCCTTACCGCTGTCCCGACTGTGGCAAGTCATTCAGCCATGGTGCCACACTGGCCCAGCATCGAGGCATCCACACGGGTGCTCGGCCCTACCAGTGTGCTGCCTGCGGCAAGGCCTTCGGCTGGAGGTCCACGCTGCTCAAGCATCGCAGCAGCCACAGCGGAGAGAAGCCACACCACTGCCCTGTATGTGGCAAGGCCTTCGGTCACGGCTCGTTGCTGGCCCAACACCTGCGCACTCATGGTGGCCCTCGTCCTCACAAGTGCCCGGTGTGTGCCAAGGGCTTTGGGCAGGGCTCTGCGCTGCTTAAACACCTGCGCACCCACACCGGCGAGCGCCCCTACCCGTGTCCGCAGTGCGGCAAGGCCTTCGGGCAGAGCTCAGCGTTGCTCCAGCATCAGCGCACCCACACGGCCGAGCGTCCCTACCGCTGTCCCCACTGCGGCAAGGCCTTTGGGCAGAGCTCCAACTTGCAGCATCACCTCCGCATCCACACTGGTGAGCGACCTTATGCCTGCCCACACTGCTCCAAGGCCTTTGGGCAGAGCTCGGCGCTCCTGCAACACCTCCACGTGCATTCTGGCGAGCGCCCCTATCGTTGTCAGCTCTGTGGCAAGGCCTTTGGCCAAGCTTCCAGCCTCACCAAGCATAAGCGGGTGCACGAGGGAGCTGCAGCCGCAGCTGCCGCCGCTGCCGCTGCCGCTGCCGCTGCCGCAGCCGCAGCAGCGGGGCTGGGCCTCGGGCCTGGCTTGAGCCCAGTATCTATGATGAGGCCCGGGCAGATCGCTTTCCTAGGTCCTGATGCTGTTTCTGTGCTGGAATCTGGCCTGGGCTTCAGCTCTGGTGCCAGCTCTGCCCGAAGTCCTGACCCTACTTCTGTGCTGGGTTCACTCCGGAATCCCATCCTCCAGACCCACTCAGGATCCATCTCCAGTCCTGATCTTGTTCTGTCTTCTGATCCTAAGCCAGGCCGTGATGCTGACCCTGATGTGGTACCCAGCCCCGACCAAGAATCTGATCCCAGCCCTAACCCAGATCTCGTCCCCAGTCCTGACCCCAACCCCAAGTCCCAAACAGATCCCTGCTCTCCCACTCATGACAGTCCCAGCCCAGCCCTTCCAACTGGAGAGAGTCCCAAGTGGGTAAAGGAGGAAGAGGCACTGCTGGGGCCCGATGGATAAAGGGGCCCGGCATCTATGGTGGTTTGGGGAAAGTGTGTGTTATATTCATAGTAAAATCCTCCTGCCTCCTGGCTCTGTGGTGTTGATTGTCTTCTGCGCTTTCTCCTACTGCAGGTGGGGGCGGAGGGTGTGGTCAGAGCCAGCCAGATCTGTGAAGGCACACCCTCCAGGCCGCCTAGCTTCCCATACAAGGCCCATTCATCCCATCTCTTCTCTCCTGGGTCTGGCCACTGTGGTCAGGTCACTCAGCCTCAGTGGGTGGTTCCCATGCTGGAATTTCTGGCATGCTGATGTTGTAGTGGGCTGACCATGGAGGCTACTAAAGGGCACCAAAGACAATCCACCGGATCCTTGTGCTAACCTCCTTGCCCTTGAAAAGCCCTGGGAGGAATAGAGGTTGCACACTCATGTTGCATGCTTATGTGCTTACCAAACATCTGTTAGCCTGTGTAGTGGTGTGGGCTGTCCAGAGGTGGCAGCAGGAGGATTGGGCTATGTAGTGAGACTCTGTCACAAAAAGCTAGACTATCACTTGGTGCCTGTTGCTTTATTTTATCTTAAAATATTTATTTTTATTTGGTGTGTATAAATGTTTTGCCTGTATGTATATCTGTGTACCATGTGCATGGAGCGCTCACACAGGCCAGAAGAGGACATTGGATCCCCTGGAACTGGAATTACAGATGGTTATGGACCATAATCTGGGTCCTGGGAATTGAACCCAGGTCCTCTGTAAGAGCAGCAGTGCTCTTAACCACTGAGCCATCTTTTATATATTTACAAAGTACATTCATTTTGTGCAGAGGTCAGATAACCTGCAAGAGTTGGTTCTCCTACTACGAACGTTCTGGGGACTAAAGTCATCAGTTTGGCAGCAAGTGCCTTTACCTGATGAGCCATCTACCAGCCCGCCTGATTTTATTTGAAAGTTTTATTTTTATTTCATGAGTATCAGTGTTTTGCCTGCCTGCAAGTGCATTGAATGCATGTCTGGTGCCCAGGGAGGCCAGAGGGGGACTGGACGCCCTGGACCTGCAGCTGTGGGCAGTTGTGAACTGCCATGTGGGTCCTGGGTGCTGACCCAGGATTAACCTTTGAGCCATCTCTTAACTTCATTTGTTTGTTTGTTTATTGAGATAGGGTCTCATTTTGTACCTCAGGCTGGCCAGGCTTGCCTAGTTTCCTGGGTGCTGGCATTATCCCAATAAACATCTAATACTCATTGAGGTCTCAGCAGGAAGCAAGACCAGCCAGCACAGTTTGGACACTTCTAATTTAGAAACATTTCAGAGCTAAGTATAGAGGGTGGAACATTCCAAAGCGTAGCAAGATTGCTGATTTAGATGGAGGGACCACTTTTCCTAAGGGGGGGAAATTTTTTGTTTTGTTTTGTTTCAGGGGTAGGATATCACTACACAGACCTAGCTGTGGTCTCAAAAACATCCTCTACATGGCTCCACATACCTGACTGTGTGTGTGTGTGTGTGTGTGTGTGTGTGTGTGTGTGTGTGTGTGTGTGTGTGCTGTAACTGTAGGTGTGGATGCCAGTGCCTGTGTGTGTGTGTGTACACAGGAGGCAAGAGCTCCTTACTCTTCACTTTTAAATTTTTATTATATGCCTAGGAGTGTTCTGCCTTCAGGTAAGTGTGCACCATGACTGCGAGTTGTATCTACTGAACTGGAGTTATGGATGGTTGTGAGCTGCCATGGGGGTACCGGGAATTGAACTCTAGTTCTCTACTCCCCGCGCTCCTAACTGCTAAGCCACCTCTCCAGCCCCTCACCTGTTTTATCCTGGAGCTTACAGATAAGCTAGACTGGCTGGCCCCAGGTCCCAAGTATTCTGCCCTCTCTGCCTCCTCGGTGCTGGGTTACAGGTGCCAGGCCATGGTTTTTACATGAATTCTGGGGATCTGAATTCAGATCTCCATGCTGACATGACAAGCCCTTGGGCTACTAAGCCATCTCTCCAGCCCCCATGCCTGGCTCTTGGGGAAGTATTGTTATATTGCCAATATTACTGACTGCACGGGCCACCATGCCTTGTTTTTGCAGTGCCGGGAATGGATCCCAGTTTGTAGATGCTGAACCATACTAACTGGGTCTTGAATTCTCTCATTTAATCCTTTGTACAACTCTAAGAGGCAGGGAACTGTGGGTGATTGCCATTTTGCAAAGGAGAAGAAATTTTTGTTTTTGTTTTTTCAAGACAGGGTTTCTCTGTGTAGCCTGGCTGTCCTGGAACTCACTCTGTAGACCAGGCTGACCTTGAACTCAGAGATCCGCCTGCCTCTGCCTCCCAAGTGACAGGATTAAAAGATGTTTAAGACACCATGCCTGGCAAGAAAATTTTAATTGTTATTATTGTTACTAATAATAAAGGGGAATAGGTCACACAGTTTAAGGCAGTCTCGGAAATTCCCAAGTGATGATTGTAAGTGCCTAGATTTAAACTCGAATTACCTACCTGCCTTGCAGATCCTATGTTCTTAACTTTCCCGTTCCAAGCAAGACTGCAAATGCCCTGAGGCCATAAAGAGGTGAATGGTAGGAGATGGAAACTATTTAAGCGGGAAGTTTTCTGGCCCTTGCAAAGCCATTGGGAAACCACTAGGAGGTTCTAGAAGATAAAAATTCTTTGGAGGTTCTTCAGGCTGCTAGTAGGCGGAGGCTGGCAGTAAAAGGCAGGACTGAGGCTGTTGCAGTAGCGCAGAAAGGCCGATGTCTTTGGGCTGGTAGAAGAGGGTTCTATTTGGCTTAGGAAACACAGTTTGCTGGTAGCCTGGATGGGAGACAGGAAAGGTTTCTGGGAGTAAAGGGGAGGATACTTTCGGCTTAGGACGTAGGGTCAGCACCGGACACCATGGAAGGTAACAGGTCAAGCTGTAGACGTAGACGTCACGAGGAACCAGCTCGGAACCAGCATGTTGCACAGACCCTTTTTTGTTAGCCTTGCTAGTCAGTCGGTGCTAGGACCGCGAGACTGACTGCTCTTAACCCGTGAGTCGCCGGCTAGGGGGCGCATGCGCACTGCGGGCATAGGTGGGGAAGCTGGGCTCCGGCTTCATAGGCTGGGTCAGAATTCGTCACGTGGTCAGCTCAGGCGCCTTGCTCACGTGACCGCGGCGCATGTCAGCTGATGCGAAGGGTTTGAAGCCGCGCCGGGAGGGAGCGAGGCCGCAGTCAGTGACAGTGGCGCGCGCTCGGACCCGCCCGCACCCCGCGCTCACCGTGCGGCCATGGCCACCGCGGCGGGCCGGCGCGGCTCAGGTGAGCGCGGGCGGCGGGAGGGCGCGCCCGGCTCCTCGACCTCAGACGGCGAGCGCCCAGCCTGGCTCCGCTGCTCAAGTCCAGTACGGGAGAAATGGGCATTCGGCTTCTGGAACCTGGGCGGCGGGTGGGCACCAGCATCTCTGACCTCAGGCGGAGAGCTTCCACAGAATCTGGGTGTCGGGGTGGGTAGCGACATATCTGACCTTGGGCGGCGAGCATCCAGCTTCGACGTTCTGAAGTTCAGTGAGGACTTCTCTGAGTTCCTATGGGGGAGAGATTGACAGATGCCTCCTAGAACCTGGGCAGCGGGTGCGCATCGACATCCCCGACCTTGGGCGGCGAGCGCCCAGCTTCCCGTTCCTCCAGCCCAGTGCGGACTTCGCAGCTGCTCCGTAGGGGAGAGAAGGGCAGAAGGCGCATAGAACCTGGGCAATGAGCTCCCAGCTTCCAGTTCTGAAGTTCCCTAGAGTCCCCATGGGAACCTGGGTGGCGGGTGGGTACCGACATCTCTAACCTCAGGTGGTGAGCTTGCATAGTACCCAGAACCAGGGTCGTAGATGGGTACCAGCATCGCTTGGCCTCAAGCAGTGAGTTTCCATAGCTCCTAGAACTGGGTGATGGGTGGACACCATCTTCCCCAACTTCCTCTGTCACTAAGCTCTGTTTTCCCCCCTAAAGTCTGGGGCAGACTTCTTAGCTGCACTATGGAAGAGAAATGGGCAGATGGTCCCTAGAACCAGTGGGTGGGTACCAGCCTTTCAGACCTCTGGAAGAGAGCTTTTTTGTTCACCCTGAAGGCCAGTACGAACTTAGTTGCCTTGTGAAAGAGAGGCAGATAGTCCCGAGAACTTGGACTGTGTGGGTGGGCATAAGCTTCTCCAGCTTCAGAGGGCAGGACTCCTGATAACCCCAGCCTCCACCTCCCTTGTGCTGGGATTATAACATGTGTCACCATGGATGGCTTTATTATTGCTATTATGGAGCATTTCTTTCCAAGTCGTATGTGACGTATGAGAGTGTTGCCTTCCCCAACCCAGTCTCTGCTCAGAGTTTGTTAATTCAGGCAGGCAGCCAGCTTCTCCCTTTAGGTCAGTATCTGAAACCCAAGGATTTTGTTAGTGATGGTTTTGTTTTGTTTGGGATCAGTATCTCATTCTGTAGGCCAGATTTGAACCTGTTTTATTTTTGTTTGTCTTGAGACGATCTTTCTGTGTAGCCCTGGCAGTCCTGGAACTCAGATCTGCCATCCTTACCTCCAGAATGCTGTAATTACAGGTGTGCACCTTCACACCAGACTTGAATGTGCGGTCCTCTCTCCTCAGCCTCTGAGCACTGGGATTACAGGTCTAAACAAGTCTTCCTCCTCCTCTTCTCCCTCCTTCTGGCTTGAACCTAGGGCCATGTTTCCTAGGCAAGCACATGACCACTGAGCTATGTCCCCAGCTGTAGCCAAAGTTCCAATTGCTCTGTTTGCTGGAACTCAGTAACTTTGACATGAGTTCCAAGGTTTTGCTTCTGGCAGCCAGTGTCCAAATGCTCGGCTTTCCTAAGTGCAGGCGGGAAGCTAGAGGGATGACCTCCATGAATCCGGGGGACTCATTCAGTTACAGCTCCCACCCCTGCAGTCTTGTCTCCCTAAACTGAGATTGTATGCCC